CTCACTGCAGCTTCAACCTCCTGGGCTCAAGCCATCCTCCTGCCTCAGCCTCCCCACTAGCTGGGACTACAAGCGTGTGTCACCAAGCCTGGCTTATTTTTCTGTAGACATGGGAGTCTCACTATGTTGTCAGGGCTGGTCTTGAACTCCTGGCCTCTTGCTGCCTCAGCCCCCAAAGTGCTGGGTTTACAGGCATAAGCCACTGTCTGGCTTCCCCTACCCTCCCCTGCCCCCGACAGGGTCTCGCTCTGTTGCCCGGGCTGGAGTGCAGTGGTGTGATCTCAGCTCATTACAGCCTCAAACTTCTGGGCTCAAGCCATCCTCCTGCCTCAACCTCCTGAGTAGCTGGGACCACAGGCATGAGCCACCATGCATGGCTTTTTTTTTTTTTGTAGGGATGAGGTCTTACTATGTTGCCCAGGCTGGTCTCAAACTCCTGGGTTCAAGTGATCCTTCAAACTTGGCCTCACAAAGTCCTGGGATTATTACAGGCATGAGCCACCACTCCCAGCCTCAAAATATCTTATTGAACTGTGTTCACCTATTTTCCAGGCGGTTGACCATGGCTAACTGAAACTCAGGAAAACAAAACCTTGGATAAGGGGAGACTACTATAATAACATTGTCTTTGAAGGCCTTTCAGTCCCCAACTCTCCCCCCATTCACCCTAAAAAAAATAAATTGAACCCAGCTAGGAACCGGACCCCAACCCAGGGTCCCGGACCACCTCAATCTTGTCTATGCCACTGTAGTGAGCTCAGCAAATTGAGGAATTATTGGCCAGAGTGTCAGGGGCAGGCTGAAGAAGGAAAGTAATTTTTCTGCCTTCTGCCCTGAAACAGTTTCTTCCTCACATTGCTGAACAGAGAGCACTGACCCAGCCGGGCCAGAGTGAGGACTAGTGAGAAATGTCTAAACTGCTGATGAGATGCTGGAGACCAATGTGTCGGGGTGGGTGGGTCGTGGGTAGGGAGGCGAAGAAACCTAGAGATGGGAATAGGAGCGGTCTTCACCTTGCCCCTAGGCCAAGGGACCCTTACTCTCTCTGCCACCTACCTCAATGCCAGCAGCCTGTTTGTACTAGACCAGAGCAGTGCAGGTAGTGCTGACTCGTAGGTGAACTCAGTCAACCCAGAATCCCAGGTTTGGGAGGGACAGCCTTTTGCTGTAATACAGAAATGCCACCCGTTGGTGCAGGTGATGACCCCTCACTCCCCACGGGCACATTAGGTAGGAAGATACGTCCGACATCCAGGCACAAAAGGGTCTTGTGGCAACACCCCGCGATCTCAAGAGCACCCAGACAGAGGGAGTGGAGGCAGGTACTGATAGTTTTGTTGCCCTCGAGGTTCGGAGCACAGCTGGACACCAATGCCCCCTCCGCTGCCCAGCTCAGCAGCCCTTCCTCCCCAGCTTCTTTCCCACCCCCAGCCTCCTTACCGAGTCCAGTGTCCTCAGTAATGCAATTTTACCAGCCCAGCTCTCAGCGAGTTCTCGAGGGGCGGGGCCAGCGCCGTTGCGTCCCGCTGCAGTAAGGGACCACTCATTCCCCTCAGCTCAACCCCTCAGCCATTGGTTGGAAGCGAGTGGCTCAGCCATTGGCTGAAACCCACCTCCTGGAGCCGAGACAGGCAGGTTGCCAAGAAGCTTCGGAGAAGAGGCTGGCTTTTTGCTGTCACTCTCGCAACAGTCCAGAGTCCATTATACCCCTGGTGTGCAAAGAATGGGACCCTCGCGCACCGGGGCTGTATGTCCGGAGCTCGGGCAGTGTGGAAGGTGACGAGGAATCCAAAAGTTGGGCTGAGAGGTGGGAGATTTTGAGTCGCCCCTACCGCCCCTCCCTGGAGGAGGCCTTGGGATCCAGTCCAGTTTCTTCCGGCTGTCATCTCCACTTTAATTAACCCCAGGGTACATACCTCTATCTACCCTGTTGCAACTACAACCACCCTGTTTATCTTTTAGAGAAAGCAAGGTCAGTCGCTCAATTCTTATATTCCAGGAATGAGAACAGAAATGCCAAAAATAGTGGTTCCAAGAATTTGAGATTCCTTGGGCTAGTCGAATTTCTCCCCAAACAAAAACGAACCAACAACGCTGAATAGCCATCTTTTATTTTGCATAGAAAAAAAAAATAATAATAATAATCGCCCCTTGGTGGTACGCGCCCGTAGTCCCAGTACTCGGTAGGCTGAGGCGGGAGGATCGCTTAAGCCCAGGAGTTCGAGGTTGCACTGAGCCAAGATCGCGGCACTGCACTCCTGCCTGGACAACAGAGCAAGACCCTATCTCTAAAACAAACTGCCTCTTAACAAGAGCAATGGCAGCTTAACACCCCGAAGTATGAAGGTTGTAGTCTCTTATCTCAAAATAAGGGGCACAAATATAATACATTTTCTATTACCCTTTTGTCATTTGATGCGGGACAAAATTTATCAAACCTAGTCCCCTAACCCGGACAAATGTATCCTTACACTGCCCTCTACAGGCCAGGGGGTGGAGATACAATTTTAATTAGTTTAAGTGAAGGTGTTCACCTTTAATTTTGAAAGATCATTTCCTTTCCTTTCCTCTCTCCAACTAGAGCTTTTACCAGGAATCAGGGAACGGGGCTGTGGGGTATTACTAAGAGATATAAGGTAAGGGAACCGACAGTGAAAAGTTGGCTTTGGCTCTTAAGTGTTTGGAAATAGAAAGGATTTCAATCTGTATACAATCAAATCATTGGAAGAGGCTGATGCCCAACCTATCCTATTCTACCAGTTGTTTAAAAA